GAGAGAGAGAGAGAGAGAGATCATGTTTAGACAGAGTATTCTATTTGTCCAAAAATGAGTCTTGATTCTTGAAAATGGCAGATACATAGTTAGTTCTCTTTAGTTTCAAGCTATAATTTGTGCCCATGATGTGAAGCCATGGTCCACTAGTCTTTTGATGTGATGACCAACAATCCCAGCGCACCAATCAATATATACTGCATAAGTGGAAAAGAAAAGCCTAATATTAGAAATTCATCGCACCTGTCGACTTAATCTAATAAAATTGAACACTTCATTGCATTTAGAGAAAGCAGAATCAGAAGTTTGATCCATAACAAACCTTGATAATTGGCTTTTCAGTCATGATTATGGTCACCCACCCAACATAAGGCAAGAACCTGAAATGGACAAGCCACTGGTTTAGCATGGAAAGGATAAAAACAGGTAATGCACCAAGGGCTGACTTAACACACCCGCCAAAAAAAGGATCAATATATGAATGTATGTGTGTCTATACCAAGTTTATCATAGTGGTAGAAAATAATGATAAACATCTATACCAAGTTTAATTGAAGAGGAAAGCTTCATATTGAAAATGGTTAACAGCATGGATCCTACAAACTTATTAGGGATTGGTTGTTCCATTGTTGGAGTTGCAATATTGCATCAAGTAGAATGGAAAAGAAAGGGTGCACATTCAAATAAGATAAAGCTAAGAAGGCAATGAGCACCAAGGCAACACCATCAAAAGCAGCTCGATCCAACCTAAGCACAGATCTCACCAGATGAGAAACCAAAGATATAAAGAGCACATTGAATTGTCAACTCACCCAACAGCTCTCCCCATAATGTGATGTCGTTGCAGCCACAGTTGACCGTGGGCATAGAGAAGTCTGTCATCACCAAAGTTGTTGTCTCCTAAAGATATGAATCATAAACAAACAAGAAAATTAATAGTCTTCATCGAGGAAAAGTAAAAACGGAGGCATTTTCATTTAAATAAGTACAAAGAAACAGAGCACCATCAAAAGTAAACTCTTTGATAGTTGGAAAACTATAAAATGACTGATGTGCACCTCATAGACCGTAATTAATTTATGATCAGAGAGAGAGAGAGAGGGAGATCCATATAACACATCCCTGACCTCGACCTAATATGCATCATACAATTGAGTACCTTTTGTAAGGACATTAACTTCTCCAGTGTCTTGGCGCTCATGAACCTACAATGGGACACACAAAAGATTAATGGTTTTTAATTTACCTAGAGGAAGAAAAAGTGGGCAGACAACAAGTGCAGCTCAGAAGCAAAACTAGTCAGTACAGGATTCACATTCCTTTTTATCATTATGATTCAACAATGTTTTAGTTCCTTCTCCCTTCTCCTTTACAGGGTTCGTACTTGGATCGGGTTGGAGGTAATAAACCAAGTGTTACTACAAATTGAAGGAGCAAGTGAAGAAAACAATAGGAAGTTACTGATAGTATTTGCCAAATGCTATTGTCTGTTCTCTGGTAGACTCATTTAGCAGTTCCAGAATTTACTTTTTACAGATGCACTTCTCTCAATTATCAAGAAAGAGAAAAAGGGCAAAACACCAGCCAGACTCTATACCAATCCTACTTGGATTGGTTACATGCATAAAAAAGGAAGAGGGTCATAAGTCACTTGATTCACTTCAGAATGTCACTTCAGTTATCAGTCCCTTATTCTTCTTTTCCTTGTGAAAGTTTGATAGTCATTTGCACATTCCTTGTTTTACTACCAGTACACATAAAAATTTGATGCAGGCAATCAAGATCCTATAATGAAGCACAACCAGATGAAAGAACATTTTGTATAGAGAGACTACTTCCCACCATACCTTTATGACGCGATGAACAATTGGAATTTCACGTCCCTGTGCAACATAAAACATGCCATCAGCAGAAGCAAATATCAAAGGTCAATAATAAATAACAGCACAGATTTCAGCTAGATGATTTTGACAGATTGAAGTCCAATCGACGAAATAGAAAGCAAGCATGAGCAAAACTAAATGGGATATCCCTCCCTCCCTCTTAAATTTTTTTCTCCATTTTTGCTCATTTCTTCCACTAACTTCTCTCCTATCTCCTATCTTAGTACTAAATCATCATCGGAAGCCTCTCAAATAATTGTTGCCAATTTCTGAGTATCTATTGATTCAGGTCTATCATATCCTATTTTATGATCATTTATTCCTAGCATCAGATTCCTAAATTTCTATTCATCCCAAGTCCCCAAACAAAAATTTGTATATTGATTTCATTAACTTATTTCATTAGTATATCCTCAGCAGCCATCATAACTATATCTAAGCAAATATAAAACGGAATGAATAATAGTCTACCATCAGTTAGGCTTTTAGATAAGGAGGTTCGCACAACTTAACATGGTATCATAACAATGTTGAGCTCCTGATTTCAAGTCTCACCCCTATAACAAAATATCTCCACGTGCTTGACCCAAGAGAAAAGAATCTTCACGTGAGGGGTGTGATGCATATCTAACTGAATACATATATGTGTCCTCTCTAATAAACTAAACTTTTGTTTTGTACGAAGCGGTTCACACATATCAACAAAATGTACATAAAGACCAATCCTATCAAATTTTCATCCTACTAGCTCTGAACCCCCCACCCCCCCAAAACCCCCCTTTAAAAAGCTTGATCATTAGCAATAGAATCTATGTATTCTCCTGTGGGTTTGGACAAAATAGAATTGTTGACAGGTGTCAAATTGTTCCTAGGGAAATATAAGTAACTCCCAAGTCATTGAAAAAGCTAACACAAAGAAAACTTGTTTATCGTGTACGTGTAACTTTTCAAAAGCCAAAGTAACTCAAGCAGAAAATAGGTCAAAACAGAGGACGCTGTTAAGCACTACTTACGTCAACATTAAACACGACAATTTCTCCTGCACGAATAGGATCCTTACTCATATGCAAGAAAAGAATGTCACCCTGCAAGAAAGTAGATGATGCTTTCAGTAATACAAAATCGAAAGAGAAACTAACACTCCAATTAAAGAAGTAATTTCTTTCCACAGCATTGGATATAGGAAGGCTCATTATATATTTCAATAACAAGTTGCTACTGAACCCTGAAGTCTATATCTGCAATAAGCCGTCCGTAAGAAGATAACTGGCATAAATCATGCATGTTTAGGATATATACCAGATAGTTAAGCCAGAAACTTTTTTAATCTTCTTTGACTCCCTTCCCTTAGTTTTATAACTTAATTTCTTCTAGTCTTTTACCCTCTGCTAAAGAATCTTAAAGCAAAGGATAAAATAGGAAAGGCAATAGCCAGTAGCATGGAACAAATGAAGTAGAAACAACTTAAGCTATAGCTTGGAACAGTGTTGTTAAAAGCGACCGCTTCCTCGCTTAAAGCGAGAAGCGAGGCATCTGGCGCTTCTCTGATCTGAAGCGTATCAGGGACACAAAAGCGATCGCTTCCCCTGAAAAAACGAGAAGCGAGGAAGCGAACAAAGCGACACAAGCGAGCGCTTCTCTTTATAACTGGGCTACCAATGTTAATTAATTAAAAAGGCTCTCTTTCTTTAACTTCAAGATCATCAAGTTTGATCCCAGGTATGTGGTTTATTCTTCTTCCTCCTCCTCCTCCTCCTCCTCCTCCTNCCCTTCAGTTCTTTTTCTCAATCTCCTCCTCTTCTTCTTCTTCATTTCCTTACACTGTTTTCAGTGAAATGCTGCCCATTTTTCGTTTCAGTTCTAGAGCCATTTTTTGGCATACTTACTGCCATTTTTTCAAATCATTTATTCTTAGTTGTCTATGCAGTGTTTATTTTATTGTCATTCTCCTCTTCTTCTTCTTCATTGTCTATGTAGTATTTTATGATATATTTTTATTTTAAATTCCGCTTCACATCAAAAAAGCGAGCGCTTCGCTTCTCGCTTTAAGCGAAAAGGGGCTTGTCGCTTTTCCTCACTTCACAACACTGGCTTAGAAAAGCCAATGTTATTCGTAGTTTAGTTGTCTATGCAGTATTTATTTTATTGTCATTCCCCTCTTCTTCTTCATTGTCTATGCAGTATTTTACGATATATTTTTGTTTTAAATTCCGCTTCACATCAAAAAAGCGAGCGCTTCGCTTCTCGCTTTAAGCGAAAAGGGGCTTGTCGCTTTTCCTCGCTNTGTGAAAGAGGGTTAGTGTAGAGCATAATAACCTTTAAAATAAAGCAAAGAACACAATCTTTCAACTTCCACTTTCGAACTATTTCTCACGACAAACAAATTGATTATAGATTTCACATTTCATAATGAAAAATTTTTAACAAGAGAGAGCAAGTGAGAGAGAGCTATTTTAGAACATAATCTGCATTTAATGTTGTTTAGCATTTGATTGGAACAAAGTTGAAGAACTCCGTTTGAAACTTGAATTTTCAATTCTTTTTCAAGTGTTGTTTGAACTGTTTGAGATCTCAACACAGTTTCTCAAATCTTTTAAAGACTCTAAAACTCAGTTCTTCAAGTTTCTTTCAAGAAGCCAATTTTGAGTTGTTGAAAGATTTGAGAATTTGAGTTTGGAATTTTTTTTTCTTTTAAAGGATAACTTTATTTAAGAAAACAGCTCAACAAATGCTTCCTGAAGAAATTGGAAAACTGAACTTCAAACTCACTTCTTCAACTTTTTCAAACAAACACCACCTAAATATTCCCTCTGTCCCAGACTAAGAGAGAGGAGCTATTTCATGTTCTACAATTTACCTCCACATAGTGAGTAGGTAGTTAGATCCTTCATTTCATTGTATTTCGTTAACTAGATAAAGAAGAATAAGGTATAGAGCTTTGGGGTAAGGTATAGACCTTCTTGGGGACCTAATTCTCCGCAAACTGCGCAACTCAAACAAGCAATAGTACAAGACACACTTAGCGTCCAAATTAAATGCCTGACGAGTGACGTCTCAGGACAATCCTATGGACCAACTGGACTTGGTGAATGGACCCGGAACAAGCCTAACAATCCTAAAATAGACATCTAAATTCGATTCCTTTGGTACTAAAAGCTAAATCGAAAATGCACATGAAACTAATGAAAAGATACAACCTTTTTATGCACTTAAAACAAATATCAAGCAAAATGTCAAATTGAAATCTCTAGCCAAAAAAAATGCTTATACACATAAAAAGCAGCCTACATTGACCAACATGAAAAGAATCAAATTATGATGAACCGTCCGAATTCTAAATTCCTCGGAACATTCCCACCCAAATGGGCCTGAATAGATACAAATGCCCTAATTGACTGATTAATAAGCCCGACAACATACAAATGAGTTCAAAAAATCAAACAATTCCAGCAAGGGATCAGTCGCACATGTACAAATTTTTATACATATAAGCAGGGGATATACATATAAAAAGATCAATTGAACTGTGTTGAAACAACAAAAAATAAAAGATGATATAAAAAATTAAATGATAACGAACCGAGACTAATAGCTTGGGTAACAAGTTGTCTGAATTGAATTGACTTTATTGAATCGATTTGCTCTCCGATCCATCCCATTTTCCTTGCTCTCTCTCTCTCTCTCTCTCACACACTCTTTTCTCTGTGTTCTCTTGGTCTGGATTCAGAAAAGCGAGGCGGATACAGCGAAAGGGGGTTTTCGTTTTATATATGGTGCAAAGTTTGGGCCAGATTTAGAATTTTTCGAAAAATTGTTTATGAACGTATCTATATGTATTTATATCTATATCTATATATATATATATATATATATATATATATATAAAAGCACGAATACAATATCAGTTTACAAAAATAATCTTAAAAATATATTTTATATTAGACAAAATAGTCATTTTACTATTTTCTTAATATTTAGGATTTTGAAATCAATTAAAATTATGCTTATAAGTCTTTCCTTATTTGATTAATATTCCTTTTGGTTTTGGTAAGTTACATTCTACGTTGAATAAAACTATACCGTAAACTTAATATCATAAACTTTTGCTTGACAATAAATATTTATTGTTTGAAGTTCTCCCATCCACAGAGCCGGATCCAGGATTTAAATCTTATGAGTTCAATTTTAAGGCTTTTAATATTGAACCCATTGTATTTTTAAATTTATGGGTTCATATCTATTACTTTTGCAATTTTAATGAATTTTTACATATAAATTTTTACTCCGCGTCGAAATTTATGGGTTCAATTGAACCCGTAGGTTAAACGCTGCATTCGCCACTGCCCATCCAATGAAACTTCAATTAAATTACCCTAATTATAGTTAACAAATTCTTGAGTCAACAAACGATAAAATACCATTCGATAGCTGTATTTTTTCTTTAAAAGATAATTCCGTGTTGGAAAAATTAATTATATTTTGCTACAATATATACTAGATAAAATTATAATCACCATTAATAATTTAAAGTTTAGATGAATCGATAATTATCCTAACATTTGTTATAAATTAAGAAAAAATAAGATCTATTTCCTTCTAACAGGAAGTTTCTTTTAAAGTTAAAGATCACCCAGGAAATCTACTTCTTCTGAAGGAAAAAAATCCTTATCTTAATTTGAAATGATTCTTTTTTAATTTTCGCAATCAAAAAAATTGATAAAGTATTTTTAATACAATAACAGTAATAACTATGCCTCGGTCCAAAATAAAAATAAACTAAACAACTTTAAATTATATATTAGTTATCAACAACCAAACAACTTTAAGTTATATATCGATTATTACAATCAACTAAATAAATATTTTCAACCAAAGAGTAATAGTTTTCACAATATTTATGCAAGTTATACATAGTTAAATTATTTCTTTAATCTTGGTAATAGTACTTGAAAACTGAAAGTTCTAAACCGAATAATAGAGAAAAATGAGAATATATGTCAAAATTTGTTGCATTAATAAGAAGTGAAAGAGAACAAATAATAATTACAAGTAATAACTAATATTCAAAAAGAAGTTTATGGCTTTGGGGACTTCTCGAAAACTTAGACATCACAACTACTTTCAAGTTAAGAGCTATTTGAAAACTACTATTCATATTGAATAAAAATGTACTAATATTTAAGATTTTGCTTAATTTTAGAACTTTAAATCCAACCAAAACTGTTATTTGACTATAGTAGTAACATTAAAGTCCTAAAATTTAAAAATCGAACTTTCTCCTAAGCCACATGGCAATTCCACAACGTGGCAATATTGTATTAGAATTGGGAAAAAGAAATTAATTAGAGCTAAACCTCAATCATCTTAGACTAATTCTTTTTACTTCTAATCTTTCATAACTATATTACAAAAAGTTAACTATAATATTGTTGGATTGTTCTTTATAGATAGATAGGATGAATCGAAATAATATTCTTATATTGTACATAACTTGAAACACTAAGAGGCATGATAATGTTACATATAATAACAAGTGGTATATATAGCAATAACGAATTTATCAAGAAGTCATATGGTTCACTCTAAATTTGACATACCTCTTTAAATAATCGAGATAACCATCATAAAAATATCAAAGTATAGTGAAGATATGCTATATCGATAGAAAAGAAAATTTAATCTGGGATAAACCACTTATATAGAGAAGCGCCATATCATCGACACCGACGGCATGAGCTTTAAGATATAATGAACGTCGGGGAATTATTGGGCAAAAAGATAATTTTTGAAGGTAATTTATGTCAAGTACTATTAGTAGTTCCAAATCAATAAATACATAAATTGTAAATGCAACATGGTAACTTCATATTTACGGCATCAAATTGAAAAAATTAGGCTAACAAAAAAATATAAGAGTGTGAATGAATCTGATATCCAGTGATATTTTGTTTCTTGTCAAAACAAAGAAGAGCATAAAATTAAAGATAATTGATCTTTTTTCCAAACCAATTGATGTCAAGCCCAATGGTGATAGCTGTATTGAAGATTGCTTAACAAGAAAAATATGTTCATCATAAAAGTAAAATAAAAATTACGAAAAACACATGATAAAAATATCTATCTTAGCTTAGGAGAAATAAACATACTTCGAACTAGATGTTGATGGCCAAGTTTCTTGTTGAGAGCAGAGCATTTATTTATTTTGATT